CTTATCGGTTGTTTACATTTTCAGCATTATCGTACATGTACTATAGGATGTAGGTCACCAACCTTTGCAAAGATCCAAAAATAACCCTTTCCAATCTAGATTCTCTCAAAGTTTTTTCCAGCAAGAACTATCAGCTAGCTATGTGGTCTTGAAGCTACAAGATCAAGTAGATACCTTCTATTCCTTACTGAAGTTATAATCTAAAGGTTCTGGATTTGAGTCCCTACAAGAAGGTTAAATAATAGATTTTAATCCTCCTTGATCCCAGGAAGCCCACAATGTTGTGCCCTTGGAAAAGGCACTTAAAATCTACTTCTTCCCTCAACTCAGGTGGAAATGAGTACCTAGCTTCTGCTACAGACGTCCTTTTGGGTGGGACACAATTCCAGGTCCTGTGTTTGGGGAGAGCCATACCTTGGGCACATTTAAGATCCCACCACATCCCATCAAACCTTACAGTTACAAGTTAGAATTGCCAGTCTAAATTTGTCTAGAATGAGAAAATAACAGAAACTCACCTCTGACAAAACCATGCGGTCCCAAGTAACAACTCTATGGTTCAGAAAAAACAACTTCTCCATAGTGCGCCAGTCTTGTCAAAACTAACTGTCCTTCTTCCAAACAAATTTTGATAAGAAAAATACTTTTTGATTGAAGCAAATTGCCGAAATGGTTGCCAGGGAAGGGCTATTAAAAGTTTTCGTAGTCAGCCTTCGCTGTAGCTGTTTTTCGGACTACGCTGGAGTATCGACTAACAGGATACGAACGTTTCTTGCAAGAACAGCAGAAAAACAAGACACTCGGCCACAACAGGAACTCATTACTGCCCAAACGCAGGTCCCAAACTGAGTCGTAGAACAATTTGTCTTAAGATTTAGGCCACGTTCTTTGTTCGTTTTGCTCCTTTTCTTCTGGCAGGAGTGATTTATCACAATTATCTTGGGCAGGCCGACCTTGCTAGTAGAAACGGGTCAGAGGGACTACATGTGCGCCGTCTGCACGTGTTGCCTGCTGGGGTCAGCCTGGGCGGAACTAGTCGCTAGGTAACAGTCGCTAGGCAACAAGAGACTGCCCTACAAGCAGAGGTTTAGGCTTTGGCTTAGTACCTTTGACAAGAAGGTTATGCTTTCATGGCTGTGTGTGTGTGTGTGTGTGTGTGTGTGTGTGTGTGTGTGTGTGCGTGCGTGCTCAATGTTACCTTTGCAACTAAAACAAAAAAAAGGACTAACATTCCTGTCTTCAACTTTAAGTTCAAGTGTGATGTCCCAAAACCCCATTTCAGCCTCCAAAGCAAAGACGCGATTTATGGCATGCTACGAGATTTGGCATGAACCTTCCCACCAAAGGGCACTGTGTCAAAATATACAACACTGCCGCTATCACAATGTGTAATTTGGATGCCAGCCTATCCCAACACACGTACATGTACATGTTAGGACTACCATAGGTGAAAAGTTGCCATGTCTATGAAAGAACGTGACTCAACAAAATAAGACACACTCCTTTAGTTAAACATTACCATTCCCTAGGCATAACCACTTCCCAAATGCCAACTGCCAAAGACAACCATCTCTGAATCATCCGATGGTGCCTTATAACCTTAAATGGTTGGGAACGTGAAATGTGTTTTCTGTTCACTCTCATAGCAGATGTAGGGTTCAACTAAGTGTTTTTTAAAGACATTTTCTACATCTATGTTAGAAGGGAACAAAGAAAAAGAAAACATGGACCACTGCTGCCAACCCCTGTGACAAGGATAACAGCAGCAGAATAATTTTCAAATCCTGGATAGTGAGTGGTAACAACTAAAAAAACATACACATAAAACACCCTGTATCTGCTTGGAAACGAATTCACATGTCTGCTTATTTCAGAGTTCAGTTCTCCTGTGTACAGAGTCTGACTGTGAATACTAGCGAGGTCGTGACAGATTTCAGAGTCTTGCAACAGGAAATAGAAAACAGAGCTCCTGTAAACAAAAACGTACATATAGCTGACCCGACAAACATCATACCTCATTCCTACAGTCTAAGGCTCCTGTGAGGAAGATATTTCAAACCAGGTCAACTTTTAAACTCTTCAAGACATAAAGAAACAAAGGTTTTTACTTTGTTGACAAACTTACGAGAATAAGGAGGATATTTGGGAGAAATAACACTGGACCATTGTAAACAACTACGAAACAAAATGCCTAATAATACACTGAATCGTACCCTACGTCTACTTGAATATATTACAAACTGATGTTAACTTTAAAACTCTCCTGGAAGTACAGAAACAAACGGTTTTGTTGTTGACAAACTCGCAAGAGTATGGAGAAAAAGTAGTCTCTTGACCACTTGAAACAACTACGAAACAAAATGCCTAATAATACACTGAATCGTACCCTACGTCTACTTGAATATATTACAAACAAACTGATGTTAACTTTAAAACTCTCCTGGACGTAAAGAAACAAACTGATTTGTTGTCAAACTAGCAGAGTAGTAAGGGAGGACTGTCATGCACTTTGGAGTGACCTGACCCCTTATGTTACCCAATATAGTACGAAATACCTCATGGGTTCTATATGGGTCTCAGTAAACAGTGGAAAAGTCTTCCAGCCGAACTGTGCAGACAACAACGCTTGACGTGCCACGATTTAAACCCACCATTTTTCTTCTTATAACACCGAAGGGCTGGGAGAGACATACTTCCGTGCAAGGGACTGATTGCTCTAGTCTGTAGGCATGTAGCATTATGAGTTGACACTTGAAAAAACAAACCACACTTCCAATATGCAGCTGGGTGACATAAACTACTACAAAACAGAGACATGTTTTTATGCACTGTTGTGAAAGATTCCAAGTATTACATCATTAAATGTAGGAGATGTTTTAAGCTGTTGATGTAACCACGTGACACAGAAATAAACACTGTCTAATACTGATACCACTAGATGACGTCAACTACTGCAAAACAGAAATACATTTTGCTGCACTGACTGTTGTTACAGAAGCCCTAATGTCACTATCATTTTTACAAGGCATTGACGACTACGTATATGTGACATCATACTCGTGTAACAACATTTGACATAACTGTAAACCACATCCCCCACCCTTTGTCACAACAGAAATGGTGAGGCCAGAAAGTTCAGACCAGAGGCGTGACGTTACCAACACACACACTTACCAAGCCACCTCCTCCCCATAATTCTCCCCTACACCTGTTCCTAACACTCCATAGGGTGGAAATTCCATATCCAGAAAGCCAGATCCATCCGGAATTGGCAGGTTTTGGCCGGAATATCCACAGGAATATCCACAGAAATGCTGAATACAGGCTGGTTAGCTCTACCCCTGTAGAGGGTTGGGCTATTAACAGAGGGTAATGGATAGATGGGGCTGTCTTACAAAATGTCTAGGCATGGTTGACATAACTCCAGTGGTGTCCTGTGGAGGGGGTTTGGATTCTGAGAGGCTACAAAAGGGGACTGGGAAGAAGTGTTTTTAGAAACCTGCCAAGATTCAACCCTTGCCAAAAATTCATAGAATTGAGCAGAAGGATTTAGAGGGTTTATTTAAGTTTTGGTAGGATTCTATTGGGGTTCTACCGCAGATTGTTAAAACTATTTTATCATGAGGTCAACTCTTCCAACACCCCATCCACAGCCTCAGGAGGGTATGTCAGGGTGAGAAGGAACACCTAACTCACCAGTGTATATGTTGCCCTACACTCAACCAAAGCACAAGACAGATACGGTCAACAAGAAAATATGGCTATTGGCTATGACTACAGAGACCCTTCCCTCATAATGGCATATAGATTACAGAAAAATGTGGTTCTCAAGAACCCCTAAACATCCTCCAAAATACATCACCCAATGGGAGCTCCAAATCCATTAGACCAACATTAACAGTGACCTTCAAACACACATGACCTTTTGTCTATATTATCCCTAGTTCTGAATGACATCTCTCCAATCACCCATCACAACACAACCTGTGTTTCATCTACGTCACACAGGATTTGAAAGGGAAGCTAATCCGATGCTCCTACTCATATAAAAGCTCAAAATGTTATAATTAGTGCATACATAAAACTTAGTGATAGCTGACATAGATGTATAATTGCTTGAGGGCATAATTCTGTTGTTTTTTTGCCTATATCTCATTTGTCCAGCATTTGCATTGGATACCAATGTTGCACAATTGTTGCTTTGTTTGCCAGCAATAGGACCCAGGCAAAGTTCTAACTTCAATTCAAGTTAGAGTTAAGTTATTCAGCAGACATCAGCAAAAGTGTGTGGCATTTTAAATCCAATTCACTACGCCTAAAAGTTATTATCGTCAGATATCAGTGAAAATGTGATGCCTAATCAGTCAAATAAATATGTCATTATCCCATCCCTGTTGTGTAGGGATGATAATGAGAATTTAGCGACGTGTTCCCTAAAGTGATTACTCACAAAGCAATTCATTTGTCTGATGATAATGTCAGACATGATGGATGTGATAGTAGAGTATCACCAGGGGAGAACTGTGGGGAAGGATGTGGTCTGACAATATCACTTTGTAACAGGAAGTGAATAATGGTTTATTTAGAAATTCAAATTGAAAAAGTAAGTTTGTATCAGGAAGCAACTAATGATCTACTCAGTAATTCAAATTTGTGTAAAAGGAGATGAATTTGCAACACCATAAAGCTTTCTATTTGTCCAATGCAAAAATATCTTTAGACAACAGAGAGCATTTAAATAATATAGCCATGTCATGTACCGTGTATGACTCATACAGCTAGCAAAGATTTTAAAGAAAGAATGGAATCAAAACACCACCAACATTGGCTACATACTAGTATACCGTAGGGGCGAGAAGCAGAACTCCAGTCAGAACATCTGAGAAAGGTGTCTGATAGACATCGAAACGTAAGCAAGGTAAGAGTCTTTCCTGGTTGTGAAAAAGATAATGCCTATATACAGGCTACTACTACTTCTAAGATGTGTTTCAGATTCTCACCTTATCGAAGAAGTAATACAGCTTCATCGTCTTCTCCAAGACGTCCCTCTTCTGCTCCAGCTTTCTTGAGAAGCCGAGAAGCTGCTCCTGAAGCGACTTGGCACGCTCCCGGATCCCCGTCGTGTTGAACTCCCCCGTCTGGGCCAGGCTGCTCGCCTCCTCTAGCAGGTCATTCCCTTTTGCACATTGTTGCTGGAAAATACGAGAAAATGGAGATTTTAGACCAGTGCTGTATGCATTGGAACTGTGTAAGGGATTGTTTTTGCATCTGACTATATCTGTATTGTCCAAATAAGTGTCCCTCGGCGTAACACACCTGCTTCGTAGGCACGCGGCGCGGCAGCAGCTAGCTATATTACGCCGACTTGTTACACCTAACCTTTGCACATCTATGTCTAGACAAAGTCTAGTGATGATGACTACTGTTTGACGTAATTCAATTGGGTATTACACACAGTCAACCACAAGTTGAATTCCTCCAAAATGCACTGACCTAGCTGCAAGAAGATTTGTACAGTATGTACATCTATTTCTTTTCAAGACCACATGTTCCAACATTCCTGTGGTCCAAATAAAACAGTTTTCCCTTGGCAAACAGTGACTAACAGTGAGTACATAACGTCATAAGTAAGACCATAAGTAGTGTTGTGGGAATACAGACAGAACACTACACTTCCTGAGGCACGAAGTGCCTGGTACTTGTACAGGCTTTAACAGTTTCGGGGACTTCCTGTGCACAAATGTCACAGACAAAAAGGAAATGTACTGACGGACATCAAAAGTAAAACCATATGCCATCAATGACTATTATTTTAACCTTCAGCCTTCTACTGTAACCACTTGGTACCAAATTTGTACTGGTTATGGGGCTAGGCAGCAGGAAGAAGGTTACAGTTGTGAAAATCTTGTCCATAAATATAAGTAATAATACAAAGTCACACATAAGGAATCTTGTCCTCAAGTAAAGCATTATACCGACATTCCTACTTTGAAGCTGAACACCTTAATGACACCTTTGACTTCCTGAGATAGCCAGACAGCTTCAGGCTGGTAAAACAAGACATGGCCTGTTTATTATCTACAGCACAAGTAGTTATTAGACCTGAACCTCATATGAAAACCAAAGCTTTGAAACATGATTCTAACATTCCATTGTTTGAATAACTTCTTTATCTCTCTAAGATATGATCATAATTATCATCTTGAAAGTGGTGATAAAGATACATCAGGCATGAGTAAGGTGACACTACTTGCTACCATCATGGAGGTAGAAGATTACAGCTATATGCTACCATGCATCTGGTTATTAGACTTAATATCTTGTATCAAAACAAAAGTTGAAACAAGACTCAACATTCCATTGTTTCAGGTAGACCACCTAAATAACTTATCTAAGTAAGAGATTATCTTGATAATGATGATGAAGATACCTCAAGCCAGAGTAAGCTGACTAGTCTGTGCTTGCTAACATCCATGTGGCCTTGATCCTAGCGCACCAGTATTAACTTTAAAGCATGGAGGTTGAGGAATGTCCAAGACAAAGCAGTGACCGGAAGGCATGCTTGTGTCCAGTCAGGGCAGGGTTAGATACGGCACACAGAGATGTAACGTGGGCAAACACGCCCCCAGTCCTGTATGTGTCACTAAGGTCCTGCTTTCATGTGTCTTCACAGACTTTGTGCACACACAAGAGACCAACATCTGCACTGATCAGAACTACTGTAGCCCGGACTCCAGCCTTGTTAGCTTTAGTCTGCCCCACAATATCCGCTACAGTT